CGGAAGCAAATTTTAATGTGTGTAAGTGTGTATGATACATGCACAAGCTCTTACGTACACTGCGCTAGTGTACATAAGAGCTTGTGCATGTATCATAGCTCAAGATTTTGGCATTTTGAGAAATAACTGTTCACTGCTAAGTTGTTCAGATGGCCAAGGTCACTGCAAAGTTGTCCAAAAATATATATGAAAACTTTCCCGAAGACACCCATTCACGGATTTTTCATACGTTGTAGCAAGCGTGATTGACCATTTAATGGATAATCCGGATCATCTGGACAACTTATTTGTGGCCTCAATGCCAAATTCAGTGAGATAACACATCAACAAGTGCTTGCGCAAAAAAAAACATGGAGCTCTAGGACCAGTTCAATTTATTTACCCTTTTTACGGATGTTCCGGATCTTCCGGAGGACCAGTCTGTGATCATCAATATTATGGCCACAATATGAAATTAATTCAAAAAACACATCAACAAGTGTGTCCGCAAAAAAAAAAATTGAGCTCTAGAAACAGTTTAATTAATTGACCACTTTTACGCATGTTCCGGATCTTTTAATGGACCAGCCTTAGCCCTCCAGGGTACATATTTGGACCAAAACCCCATATTTTTTCTCAAAACTCACCAATAAGTGCTTCCGCTAAAAACTGCGCAGCTCTAACTCCAATTTCATGAATTTACCACTTTTACGGATGTTACGGTGTCCCGCTGGAAGACACATTGTACCAAAAGGAGGACAGTTAACAATTTCCCCGAAGATACCAGGAAGTTATCTATTCATATAACTTTAATATCAGAGTTTTATTGACTGTAGGGTTACGGTATGTAATGTGGGTCTAGTCCTTTCATTCGGCCTATCACGCAAATAAATAATTAATTAAGGAATATTACACAAAAAATAAGGAAAATATTGATGACTGATGGTTGATAAATGTGTACCACACACAAATCAATTTATATCACAACATTTCAATACATTTTCAGCTCTCGTAAGTAATAAAACTGGTTGAGAATATCACAATGTTCGGAGTTTTTAGCCGCCATGACTTATAAGGTTAAGATGGGAAGGTTGACTGACGATCATCAAATGGCCTGATTATGGCATTTATTGATTGGAATTACCTGATAATACACACTAGACGTAAAACTTACAGTTGCTGTTTGAATATTTTATGTTTATTTTAATTGTTTAACAACGTTTTCACAAGTAAAACATGGACCCAACTTTAGGGACACATTTCTTTTCTATGTTCCTAACTATGGCCCATGAAATTCATTTGACAGCATATAGCAATAAGAGTAACGTCAACAATGTTGTTTTGCATTTGGATGATAAGGAACGAACAGGAAGGGAGATTTTTTCTGCCAAACCTGTATAATGAACATCACAATGTTCTGATTTAGATATTCTGCGGTCAAAAGACGATAAGCGAAATTTTTAATTTTTAATTTTTAAATTGAGTGATTTAATGTAGTTTTCGTAAAATTTTCTCTAAGAAATGTTTTGAGGAATGAAGAGCATTAAGTTAACAGTGATAGTGATAAAAAAAAATACATCAGAAAACGTTACCAAGAGCGTTTTTTTGAGGATCAAACAAGATAGGACGAAGTTGCATCCATAAATAGACCCAATTTGGGGACAATAGACCCATATTACATACATTTCCCTCGTGAGTTATTGTCTTAAAAAAAGTAAGTTTTTCAACTTTTCGTGGTTTCTGATAGCAAACGACATGATAAGCATATCTAAGCATACCATTTAGCAGTAGAATATCGTTTGCAGGTAAATTCATTGATGAGTTATGATTAAAAACGTAATCGATGGCTGCATATTAGACCGAGGTTAGGGACGTATACCCTATATAGATTTAGTTTCATTCATTTTAAACCGACCATGACATTGATCCGTGTTCATAATAAATCAAAACTAACTAACTTATCCGAGTTCCATTTCTTCGATTATTTCTTCCCTTATTCGCTCGTAAGGTACCGCAGGACGAAGGAATGTTTCTTATGTACCTAGCTGCGCTCTGCTACTGTCAGAGTTGGTGCGGTAGAAAGATGACGTTTGCGATTCCTTATGTATCATCCACTGCTTTGTATGCCGGCAATGTTGTGCGGTAGACACGAAGAGAAGATATGTGCAGTTCAAAGTTGTATACAATCATTGAACGCATTATTCGGTGAACTGTTGAGGTCGTTTTTTTTTGTGCAACCATCGTTCTTCGTTTCGTTCATTCATTTGGTGCTACAAAACTGAATACTGTTATTCGTCAAAGGTATCTGACACTTCACTCATTTGTGAATATCTATTCATGACCAGTTACGAACCTGACACACGGTAGTTCAATGGCATGTTGACAGATTTCCAAACACTGCGCTTAAGATCTCTAGATCTAGCTTTTCTGAGATCAATAGAACTTCATTAAAGTTTCCACATTTTTGATAGTACGAAACGTCAAGACATTAAAAATGTTGTGATCAAAACATATTTTTAACACATTTCATAAATAGCATTATTATTATAAACCTGGAAATTATCCGCCAAAGTTATGGAAAAACCTGAAAAACTCAGGGAACTTTATTTAGCCAAATGAGTGGACACCTTGTAGATAGAGAAGAATGATTAAACGTAACAAAAACTCTATACCAGGTCGTCAACTTCGAATTGTTTAAAAATAGAACAAAATATAGGCCTATCCAGAAAAATGATCAATCTTGAAATAAATTCTCGTTTAAAAAAGTTTGAAATAGTGACTTATTACAAGAAAAAGTGACATTAGTGATTTGGCCTTAAAAAAAGAGACTTTTTAGTGACTGGCTTGAAAAAAGTGACCAAGTCACTAAAAAGTGACTCGCTACCAGCCCTGTATTATGCTAACGATTAAATGTCGATATAAAGGGCGAACACGAAATTATTGCGACACCGAAAATGTCATGCCAATTTTCTTATAATGTTTAGAATCAAACCAAAATTTTAGGGTAGTTTTATACATATATTTACTTCAAAAATCAAAAGAAAAGTTAATCGATGAGGCCTTGAGTGTAAAATTGAACGCATTTTCGCTTGATGCCCTCCATCAAAGTCTTTACAGTGTCATCCGGTACCAGTTTCTCAGTTTTTTTTTTCCATTTTCTTAACATGTCCTTCTCGTCTTTGACTGTCTTCTTGCTCTTCCGAAGTTCCCGCTTCATTATTGCCCAGTACTGCTCCACCGGGCGCAGCTCCGGACAGTTTGGCGGATTCATGTCCTTTGGAACAAAATGGACAGAATTGGCCTCATACCACTCCAGGACACTTTTAGAATAGTGGCATGATGCCAAATCTGGCCAAAATAGCGGAGCTTCATCGTGCTGCTGCAAGAACGGCAAAAGGCGCTTCTCGAGGCACTCAGATTTGTAGATCTCGCCATTTACTGTGCCCTTTGTCACGAAAGGCTCACTCCTCAGTCCGCAAGAGCAGATGGCCTGCCAAATGAGATATTTGGAGGCGAACTTCGACATTTTCTTCTTCTTAAATTTGTCGTCCACATCGAACTTGCTATTGCCGGTGAAAAACTCCAACCCCGGAATTTGCTTAAAATCGGCTTTTATATACGTTTCGTCGTCCATCACACAGCAGCCATATTTTGTCAGCATCTTCTCGTAGAGCTTCTGTGCCCCAGTTTTAGCCGTCGATTGTTGCCGCTCATCGCAGTTTGGGAAGTTCTGTACCTTGTATGTATGTAGTCCAGCTCTCTTCTTTGCATTCTGGACGTAGCTCTGCGGCATGCCGATCTTTTTAGCCAAATCACGGCTTGAGACGTTGGGATTTGCTTTAATCATCCGCTTCACCTTTCCCTCCGTCTTTTTGTTCTCCGGTCCCGGTTTTCTTCCAGCTCCTTTGCCGTGGTCCAACGTCAACCGCTCCTGGAACCGCTTCAACACTCTGGAGACGGTTGAATGGTGAATGTTCAACATTTTTCCCAACTGCCGGTGCGACAGGTCAGGAAATTCCAGGTGTTTGGAAAGAATTTGTTCTCTCAACTCGCGTTGGTTCACCTCCATTTTCGTTGAGTTGAGTTTGACAGCATGTACACAATACACATCAATGAGAAAGTGTGCAAAATTTGGTTGATTTTTACCCAATGGTAAAAAAGTTATGCCCTGTTGAATGTGTCGCAATAATTTGGTGTTCGCTCTTTAATGTAAATTCTTGACATTGTTTATTCTAGTCTTGAACATTTAGAAAAGTAGACATTCATAAAAATCAATAAAAATAAAAAGTAATCTTGAAACTGCTGAACAAAATAGCGGTGTATAAAAAAACACCAAAAAATCCTGGGGGGGGGGGCCTGCCCCCCTTGGCACCCCCATTAGCTAGGTCAATGTTCTTAGGATATTTTAGATTGCACCCTGAAGTTTACCTGTTGACGTGTGGAATTTTGTAGTTTGAATTTAACTCTGAGTTCGAGACCTCAAAAATGTTCCTCTAAGATCCTGCTTATGTCCAACATTTCTAAAACAATTGCTATGCACTAACTCTTACAGTTTCCCACATTGGGACTATCGATCAATTCGGCTAAATGGAACTCGCCCAGGCTCACCTGAATTTAAAGTCGAATAGCGCAACGACACTTCATTTATGGTTCCAATGAAAGATAGTTGATTTTACTGAAGCTAGAAAGCATTCCGACGTTTTCTTCAACATACTGAAAGTACTCATTACTTATCTTCGTACCCAGTAAAATGCTCACTTACGAGTCGATGATCACGAATTATTTACGCTCATAGATTCAACCCCTGTTAATAAAGTAAATACGGCCAATCGTCCGTCGAAAACCATCTCCAATCGACCGTTAGAGAAGAAGAAGAAAAAAAAAATCTAGGACACCCACATATCACCGATCGACATCCGTTCATTGTTCCATCGGATAACGCTACGCTAAGCGGCAATGCACTGCGCAAAAGCAATAATTACACCATTCAAAAAACCCCACTCCGCACGCTCCTCACTCACCTGGAAGATGTTCTGCATCTTGAAGCTCCGCTCGGTGAGCCGCTCCACGGCCAGAATCTCTGCCAGCGGTATATCACAGATCGGTCTCTTTCCCTTTGCCTTGGCGTAGCTGAGCGATTGGGTCGTTAGCCGAAAGTAGCGCTGCTTGAAGTTCCGCCGACCGAAACGCTTCCGACCTTGGGCCCGCTTGGTCATCATCCTACATCGGGGGGGGAAGCATTGTTATGCGTCGTCGTCGGTCGTCGATCCGCGTGTGGGTGGAACGGGGAGGAGAAAGAAGCAAAGCGATTTAAGCGTTAGATATGGTCAATCCGATTTCCACTTTTCTTAGACTGTGCTAAGCCATTATTCTTTTCCAGGTGAGGAATTATTTCACGATCAATGAATAAAGACAATGAAGGAACGAAAAGGGGCATAGCAACGCTACAACAACAGGTATGCGCATATCTTTTGGCTGCTTTCAGGAGAATGGGTTGTAAATTAGGAGCGAAAAAAACAGAAAAGAATGAGTGCGAGTACGCGAATAGGTAGGTAATAACACAAACGAACGAAAAAAAAAGATTAGAACAATGAGACACTAAAAAGACGATTACGGGTAATTCGAGCCGATTGATGGCTGCCATGTGGCCGAGGAGAAACTTACCATTCGCTGTTCCGTTCGAGCACAATTGCCATAGATCCAGCACAGCACCGGTTTGGATTTGTTTGTGGTTTGGAAAATATTTGTTTTCGGTATTTACAGTACACAGGTTAGTAGTTTGGAAGAGAACGAGAATCAAAGGGAGAGTGAGAGCAAGAGCGAGATAGCGAGTTAAAAAATTGAACGGAAAGTTAGTTTCGCAGAAATTGGGTCATGGAAAAACAAAATTGAGATTTCGGTATTCGGTAACAGTAGACCGACGAATTCGGATTTCCCTACGACACAGGGACAGGGTTGGCTATAGACTTTATTAGGGTACATCGAGTGTGTTGGATAAGCTCCACGCATTTGAATGCGGTGGGCGTGTTATTTTTTCAACATCTATTATAATAAGGTGGTATGAATCACTTGAAGCGGAAACTTACCCCTCCTTGAGCACCACCGCCTCCAGCATCGTCGTCGATTCGTCATCGCAAATGTTAGCACCCACGGTGGAGATCACCTCCAGAAAGTGTTTGATCGCATCGACGTGCTTCTCGGTGCAGAACTTTTTGTACAGCTGGCCGGTGTACTGCTCCTTGCACGGTTGCTGCGCCGACCGGGAACTGACCAGATTGCCCAGCGATTGGATCGTTTTCGAGATCAGGGTCAGAGTACGGGTGGTTTGTTCGTCCTGCGGAATCAGAGATGATGGGAGGGTTGGTTAGTTAGTTAGTTGGCTTTAACATCGAGAGGTTTAGCTCATTGAGTCTACATGCGATTCGCGACATGTATAAACTAAACTGGGTTACCTCAATTGCACTATGGGCGATTTCGATACAAGCAGTGGACAAAAAAGACGTTCATATTTTTTTTCGCAATTTCTGGAATTTTCCTTGCTTGGTTTGATCAAAGTACGATGTTAATAAATATTATCCAGCATTTCACGACCAACTTTTGTAAAGGGCTCAACTTTTTGTTGTTTTAAATTTAATGATAATATTTTGAAATCGGTTACAGCTTTTAGTTTGATTTCAAAGAATAGAACCTTGAAGATAATGCGAACTTTAAAACAAAGATAATTAACAATTGGTTTTGGGCAGCGTAGAATAAGAGGGGCATAGTGAACAGGTGGGGCATAATGAGCATCCCGCACTCCAGTTCTAAACTTCTAATTGTTCAAATCAAATTAATTGGGAGTAGGTTCAATATCACCATTGCAATGATCATTGACCAAATAGTTTGTTTCAAACCATAAGAAATCCAAGGCTAAAACACAGGAAGCTCACTATGCCCCTCCTTCCCCATACATTGTAAAAAAAAACAGTGAATACATACATTTGATCAGGTTACATTTTTTTGAAATATGTTTATTTGTTTTAATAAATCTTCTGTTAATAAAAAAAAAAACATTATATACCAACAAATATAATTTTCAACGAATTTCTCGATCATTCTTCTGTAACAATATCATCACGAACAAAATCTTCTTCAATTTCATCGACAGCTTTCATAAGTTCCTCCAATGCATTGTAGTTATTAGTATCAGCTATTGAACAGCTTACATAATTTTCAAATATCATGAAACTTTTCACCATGTCGAGATAATCCAGAAATACTTTTTTCTGTCGTCTTTTCGCCATTCAAATGAAACTGATCAGTGGGTCTGATTCATTCATGGTACGAATTAAGACATTCTGTATGTTTAACCTCAACCTGTGCACCAACTCTCAAAACATAAACAAGCCTTAGAAAAGTGGTCCCCCAGCCACATTGCATGAGTATCATGCTTCTTCTTCTTCTTCGCATTTTAAGCTTATTGCATATCGCATATTAGCTTATTGCGTGCTCTCAACTTAGTGTTCTAGATGCACTTCCACAGTTATTAATTGAGAGCTTTCGATGCCTGTACCATTTTTGCATTGATATGATTGTGTGGCAAGTCCAATCATACTTCTATGCCCAGGGAAGTCGAGAATTTTTCAACCCGAAAAATTCCTAGACCGGACCGGGCATCGAACCCAGCCGCCTCCAGCATGGTCTTGCTTTGTAGGTGCGCCTTTACCGACTGAGCTAAGGGAAGCCCCAGTAGCCCCAATCTGAATATCATGCTGCTTCAACCTTTGATAATATACGGGGATGTCCTGACGGCCGAAGGAATCGATGGTGCTAAATCCTGCAGTATAGCTTCGCCGCCCTCAACATCCTCTGGTCTCGCAGGTTTGCAAGGTCCGTCCACTTTCCGATGTCGCCTTTAATTTTTCTAATAAACGGAAGTCTGGCACTGGACCATTCCGTTGCCCACGCTGTCTACACTGTGCAAGTGATCCATCTCTTCACGTCCTGCAACGGCACCTTATGCGAGTACCGAGGACCAGATGGGCCTGACCCTGTCCGCCTCGATGTTCCCTGGGATCCCACCATGTCCGGGAATCCATGCGTAGGTAGTGTTTGGTGGCGCAACCTTCAGGATGCCCTGGATCCAAAGGTGGACCGGGACCTCCGAAGAAAGGGCCTGAATAACACTGTGGGAGTCCGACAGGATGAGGATTGGGCGATCCACAGGAACCGTGACGGCATGAAGAATAGCCGCTGCTTTTGCCGAGACCACCGAACATTGTTGTGGCAGACTTCTACTCGTTGGGGAAATGTCACCAGCGATTCCCATTCTGACTCCAGCTTTCGATCTTGACCCGTCCGTGCAACGATGCATGTACCGTATGCGTGCCATTGAGCAATGTCAAAATAAAAAAAAATTATTCAAAGAGGGGATGTTTCTCAGAGTCTTAAACTATGTTAATCATCGATCGAGTTTCCACTTGCTGCAATTACGGCCTCCACACGCTTCCGGAATGCACGGAAGTTTCTTATAATGTAGTCTGGATCCATTTCTATCCAGGTACGGGTCAATGTTTGTCTGAGGCTTGTTGTACTCGGGTGGCGTTTAGAACAGGCCTTGGCCTTCATGACGCGCCATATTGAGTAATCCAGCGGATTAAGATCGGGGTTGGATGGCGGCCACATATCTTTCGTCTAGAACGGAAGATGTTCCTGCAACCACTTCTGAGTACGGTTCGAGGTGTGGCACGGAGCCCCATCTAGTTGAAATACAACATTTGGCTTCGAACCGTACTGATCTTTGATCCCGATGTAGAGCTCCGTGTTGACCTTGTCGCCTTCTGGAATGAATACCGGGTCCATTTTTTACCATCAGAAGCCACCAATCCAAACACCATAACGCTAGCAGGATGCTTGGTCAGATACACGTTCTTGTGCTCGTCGGCCACGTCGTGGCCGACGTGGAATTTGATACGGGATCGACGGTAAACATGCTCTCGTCGGTGTACAGGATCACCGGATTTGTTCGCTTAAGGAAGTTCAAGATTTTCTTGCATCGTTCGACTTGTAGCTCCCGGATGCGGTTGGTAATCATGTGAGTTTTTTTCCGTGCCCTCGACTTCGCCCCGCAATCTTCTTTTACGATTTCCGTGCCGTAAAGTCACTGATCCCGTGTTCCTTTGCCATTTTCCTTATTGAACGCACTGGATTCACCCGAATCTTCCTTTTGATAGCAGCAATAACCCTCGGAAACCGAGCTGACCTCGGACGACCTGTGGCCACCTTCGCGGATAGTTGTCCTTTCTTTAATCGGTCCACCTGGACACTCCCACGGCGATTGAAATGTCTTTTTGCGAAATTTGCGCGTGGGACAAATCACGAATACGCTGCCACTTCGTCATGGTGCAACTGTCAAACTAAGTAAATCATTTTCTTTTATACACAGCCTACTACGGTATGAACTATAGGTTACGTGCATGCAAACCAAGGCATTGTATGCACAGGTGAAACGGGAACCTTATTTGTACGATGGTGCAAACATTATCACGCATACGGTAGTTTAGGTACAATCCGGTCAGCTCTGCTACCGATCTCCTAAGGGCTACGGAATTTTCCTCGGCTCTGAACATCTCCTTTATCCGGCTGTCGATGTTTGGTGCGGAAGATTGCCAACTCTTATCTCCGTACCGAGTAAATCTTGGCCAATGGGGGGGAGCTCTGCGTTGGCGATTGTATGGAGAACTCTGTCCCCCTTGCTGAGGAGGCAGATTTTGTCGTTTCCGGCGGTATTTGCTGAATATTCAGCGGCTTTGTTGGCAATGGCTGCGTAGATGCGGTACCGGAAAAGGGGGATTTCCGGCTTTGACACAACTGGCATCGGCTGGCGTCGAGGGTAGGAGACCGGAGATGATGCGCGTGTAGCTATTGTACACCGGAGCGAGTATTTGTATTGCCAGCTCGAGTCCATACATCAGCCGGCTGTCTACGATGACTCTGGCAACACGGAAACGTACTTCTCTGTTGTTGGACCGATGATGACGGGAGATTGTGCGGATGAGGATGATCCTGCTGCGACAGCTGGCTTTGGCCCCTTGAAGATGCTGGTCAAAACTCAGCGACCGGTCAATGACAACCCCCAGCAGTTTCACAGTTTTCTTCAATGGGATAGCTTGATTGCCGATCTTTACGGAAGGTCCGCAGACCCGATGTCGGTACTGGCAAACGTGGCACCTAGCGCTCTTTCCAGCAGACAGCTGAAAGCCTTCCGAAGCAGCCCATGTGGCTACGGCGGAAACCCCTGCTTGGGCACTAATCCTCGTTCGTCCCGGAGCTTGACCTGTTGCTACGATTAGCACGTCGTCTGCGTACACGAAAATGTAGATGTTCGCTGGTAACCGCTCGAGGACACTGTTCATGGCTACCAGGAATAAGGTGACTGCGATCACTGAACCTTGGGGAGCGCCAGTTTCCTCGCAGCAAGTACGGGATTTGGAAGAACCTACCGAAACTCGGAAGGATGTGCCAGTCAGGCAATTTTGAACGAAATTGATGAATCTAACCCGCCACCTCTGGCTTGGTAATACCATGCCTTTACTGACTAGACTATGAGACCCCTCAAATTACTCTAACATTCCTTGGAATTTGAAGTTCCTCGAAAGCAATCGTCAGATTTGGCATCAAGTTTTCCTCACAATTTTTTCCAGAACTCTCTTGGAATTCTCCTCCCAATTTCCCTTGAGTTCGTTAGAACTTCTCATCAAAACCTTGAAAATTTTGGAAAATTATTGTACTTTAATGGTACAATACTTGGTAAGAGAAATGTAAGATGATTTTTTTTTGAGAATTCCAGGTTTTTCCAGGAAAAATAAAACTCCCTGAAGATTCCTGGATTTCCTAGGTTTTTCTTAGAAGAATTCAAAGGGAGTTGTGAGAAGAACTTCGAGTAGAATTCCTACATGATTCTGATGAGATTGGATTAAAGTGATTTGGCTTATTTTCTGTTTATCCTTGACATTAGTTTCGTATTTGATTTTTCTAGGTTTTCACTCACATTTGTGTTGCTTTAAAGTTTATGTGAGGCTAGTTACTGTATGTTTCCGAAAATGATAAAATATGGGCCGATGGTAACCAGCAGAACCCGATAAGAAATTTCTCGTTTTATCCTCCGGAATGTTGTTTCTTTTTCCGGTTATGCGATATACATTTAAATCAAGCATAAACCTGAATGCGATTGGGCTGAATGGAGCACTATGTTAAATGGATCAAGATGGACTAATACAGCAGAATTTTTCATGGATCTCGAATTTGTTTCTACTTTCAAAGTCTTCAAACTTTTTTCTGTATTCGCTTAAAACTCTATTTTAATTTTCTCAAACATTTCCTTTAGAATCATATCCATTCAGAGTTATTTTCAGAATTCCTCTAAAATAAATGTGGGATTATCTCTGGTCCCTTGAAAATGTCTTTATCTCTCCAGAAATTCGCTACAGAACACTTAAAAAAATCATGAAATTGATCCTAAGATTCCCTTCGCATTGTTTATGATTCATCCAAGAGCTCTCTGTAGCTTACTTCAACAATTATATTTAAAATTCGCTTGAATGCTCCTAAAATGTTCTTGCAATTCACTTCAGAATTGTTTCGAAGTTCTGCTCAGAATTATCCTAGCATTGTCCTATATAATCTTCTGATCATTGACCTGGAATCCTTCTTAGAAATTTCTTGAAATTCCTTTCAAGATAAACTTGGAACTATCCTCGAAAATTCCATAAAACTTTTCTCAGAACTCTTTTCTAACTATACCCTAAAAATTCGAAACCCTTGCGAATATCACGGAATTACCTAGGAGTTCTCATCAGAACTCTCTTAAAACTCTTCGCATAACTTATTTCGAAAATTCATTAGAAATGGACCTGTAATCCTCCTTACAATCGTCCTAGAATTCTCCCCAGAACCACGAAAAAATCTACTTTAAACTAACACCATTTACTTGGAGTTCTAGTCTAATCTGTCTTAGAGTTATTCCAAAAGCTCCTTTGGAATTTTTCTCTGACACACCTTGTCATAGTTATCTATAGAATTTATTTCAAAACCTCCTTAAACAAATTTCAACGAAATTATCTTAATAGTTTTCCAAAGTTATTGAAATTTGTCCAAGGTCCAGGATCTCTGAGAGGCCGAAGTAAATTTTTCCCGGATCATATTCCGTTTTCAAATTTCCCGATTCACTGGAAAGGAAGTCATTCACTAGGATTTTGGAAAAACAAAAACTTTTTTTAAAGCAAAAAATACACCATACTCAAGAAGCGTATAGAAGCGTGATTTCCGAGTAGACGACTACCGAAATCGTATTTCATGAATCAAGCGTCATTCAACCTACGCAGGCTTATTTTGGGAATTCCCAGAAAAAAAACAAACAAACAAGCCAGTCCCAACCATTTCTTTTCATTCAACTAGAAAAGTCCATAAATGCTCGAAAACAGTTCAATGATAAGATAATGATTCTATTTTCAATCAAACGAACGACAATCATTTCCGCCCAAAATAGACTGATACATAGTCGTTATCAATTTACCTCTCGCCCTCGCCCCCAGCAAGAAAAAAATAAAGAGAAGATAATGTACTCACCACTGGTTCGGTGGTCAAATCGAACAGCTTCGGGCCCAGGATGGCCGGCGCGAAAAACCGCAGAAAAATGAACCCAGACACGACCGAATACCGGACCTCCTTGTTCTGCGGAAAGTACTTGGCCGCACATTCCCTTAGATCGTGAAAGATCTGACACAGCACGGCAGGGCACTTGACCGCACTCTTGGTGATCGCTTCGAATACCTTCTCGACGTACTCCTGCAGGTTGATCAGGTTGGTGTCGATCATGCTTTTGTCCTTGACCCGCGCCGGATCGATTTCGCAGGGTTTCTTCTCGGAGAAGATTTCCTCCACTATGGGCCGGAGGGTGTTGTGCAGGTAGTGCAGCCCGGACAGTCGCATCGCTTCGTCCATCATTTTCGAGACCAGCGTGTTGCCGCGGAAGATGGTCGTTGGATCGGTGAGTTTGGAGATTTCGTGATCCGCCAGGGCTTTGATCATCGGAGCGATCAGGTTGGTGTAGGTGAACAGGCGGACCAGCGGTTGAGCGACTTCGGTTTTATTCTGGATGATTTCACCGAGGATGTGGACGGCGCTGGCGGTGATGGGTTTTTGATCGATGGATTGAATGAGGATGTTCAGGAGTTGATCGTAGGTTGCTAGGGGGAACACGTGATCGGCGGTATAGTTAAGCTTGAGCCGAAGCGAACCAAGCGAGTTATCACAAGAGAGCCGGGTTCCGGGAGGAGTAGCACAGGTTCGCGTCGGCCGCGATTGGCTTGTCCGGGGTTGTAGGTAGTACCACGCACTTTGCTGCACCGCGTTCAACTGCTGCTTCCCACGCACCGGAAGCTTGATCTCACCGAGAAACACATCGTCGCCCATACCGGGACTGTCATGCCAAAAAGCTATCACAACCTCACACAGGTCCGCTCCCCCCAGGGGTGCCACCGTGTAGGTATTGTTACTATCACTTCTCGAGTCACTTGCACACGAGTCCACGCACAGGTCAAAGCTAACTACTTCTCCGAACTCCGGATTGACCGTCTTTTTTCTCACCTTAGTACGTTTCGTAATTTTCTTCTTATTCGAATAGTGAGCAGTTAGTATTGCGTACGGATCACAAAGGCCATTTTTTCGAGCCAAGTTCATACACTCGGTCAGTTTGATCGAGATGCGCGAACTTCGGCCGGAGCTGCTGCTGGTGTCGAGAATGTTTCGAAATGGTTGCTGCTGTACGTTGTTGCCAAAGTCACTGCTGCCACCGAAGATTGTCTTTAGCGTCCCGTGGCCACCTCCGCCACTTTTGGATGGAAAACTTAATTTTAAATTTGTACTATTCACAGAATTGTTGACCATGTGATGATGTAGCTGTTGTTGTTGTTGTTGTTGTTGTTGATGATGATGGTGGTGGTGGGGATGGTGGTGCAGGTGATGGTGGTGATGGGATGAGGTGGAATTCTCTTTCGTATCACTACTACCGCTACTGCTGATCACACTTCCAAACGAAGAAGTGCTATTATTGGACGACTGGAAGTTGCTACAATCGTCAAACTCGTTGTTCTGCTTTAGATTGCCGACGCCGTCGTCGATGGAGATCTCCAGGTGAGCCATGCCCTGCACTTCCGAGTCCTCATCGACGGGTCTCAGCGGAAACCAGTGATCCTTGTGGTTGTACTGATGCAGATCTTCCCGCTTGATTGCAATCTTTCCGTAGGGTTTGTCCTGCTTTAGATGCCGGTCCCTGTCCCACACGTACACCGACAGGTAGCGGAAGCTGCGCGGAATCTCGAACTGGTACTCCTCGCCGAAGAACGGACTGAGCGTCCGCTCGATCGTCGGCGTCCGGCAGATTTCCTCCTGGTCCAGTGCGATCGTGCAGTACGCGTCGCGGTTTTCCTTCGAGCCCGATGAGGAGGCGCCGCAGTTGTTGCCATTGCGACCGAGGAGGTTTTTCGCTTCGCCTGCAAGATGGAGATAAGAAGATAGGCAGGATATATTAGTACAGGGGTCATGAACGGAATAGTGCGTAATAAAAGAGTCAAGAAGGTGGTAAGTGCCAATTGTGGTTTGATGTGAGGTCCGTGCGTTTCTCTTAACCGTTATGTGCGTGACGGTGTACTCGGGCCCATTTGAATAACATCCTCGGTTACGAATAGATTGCTAGAACAGTGTAGGGTCAGATGGGGCAAGAGTGCCTTCCCTAAAAGTTTTGAAAATAAACATATTTTCAATGCTAACTAACCCATGATTGGTGTTCCTATGCAGCATTGTAGAAAGTTCTGTCCAAAATGAAGTCTAACAAAAATTGCAAAACATCATTTTGCGCTGATGTGTCGAAAATCGTAATTATTAATAATAATTAGACACCATAAAATAAGGATTTCAGAATTTCCAAATATTGTTTCACTAACAATGATTAATTGGAACATCAGTAAATATTCCCTTTAATTGATCAAAAATCATCTTATCAACAATGAACCTCACACGGGGCAACAGTGCCACCCCTACAATTATGAATAAAATTATACAAAAATGTCAAAGAAATTGCTTACATTGTGAATTTAAGTCTTCGGTAAGCTTGATTTCACTAAATTTGGCAAAACCAGCTACAGGTTTTTTGATGCGATGGGAGTCCGCACAAAAGCCGTAAATCTACTGGTAGAGGCGTTCTCATAGCGGTCGGCTCTGGATTGAAGGCAAAAGTTATCGAACACGATTCCTGGAATTGTGTGGAACAAGTTTGGATTGCCATTAAGCTCGCTGACCGCACTTTGTTTTTGTGTGTAGTTTACTTTCCTACGGATCGAACTCGCGAGTCACAGTCAGTCTATTCGAACTATAATGGAGATCGCTACAGCTCCTGACGAGATGATAATCATTGGCGACTTCAATCTACCGGCAATTTCTTGGCCATCATCTTACGATGGATTCCTGTATCCGAACCACGACCGTTCTACATTTCACTCTTGAGCTGTAAGCCTTTTGGATCATTACAGTATCGCCACTCTGAAGCAAATCAACCACGTGGTTAATGAGAACAATCGTAGCTTAGACCTTTGCTTCGTCACCGCTCAGGATACTGCTCCGCATTTGTCTATGGCTGTTTCTCCGTTGATATAGACTGTTCCATACCATCCTTCTTTAGTTATTACACTTGAAGGCAACCAAATTCCTGAGGTTATTCCACCCCCTAGAGGTCTCCTACGATTTCCGAAATGCTGACCACAACAGTATCGGGGAATTTCTTTCGAATTTGGACTGGCACAGGATACTCGTCCCTGCCGATGTCAATGCAGCTGTCCAAACGCTCTCGCATATTTTGGCTTACGTCATTGAGTGACACCTTCCGAAAAAAAGTTCCTCAACAAGGTAATCATCATCCTTGGCAAACAAATGAACTCCGTATGTTAAAGTCTTCCAAAAGAGCCGCGCTAAGAAAATACACCAAGTACCACACCGTACAACTCAAGGACCATTAAGCGATGATCAATCATGCGTAGCAACGAACCAGTTATCGGCGTTATCAACGAGATGTTCAACGGAAGCTTCGATCTCACCCGAAAATTTTTTGGAATTATGTGAATGAGCAACGAAAGGAGTCTGGCCTTCTTTCGACTATGGTACTGAACGGCGAAGAAGCTTCATCCCCTCAGGACTCATTTGCCGTCTGTTCTCAACCAAGTTTGCGAGTGTATTCTCGGATGAGAACCTACCTGACGAGCACGTTTCTCTGGCAGCCAGTAATGTTTCAATGTCTGGTCAATCTTTGGCAGCTATCAACATCGACCTCGCTATCATAACTAGGGCGGCTTCGCAACTGAAGTCTTCATTTATGCCTGGACCTGACGGAGTTCCTTCCATCTTTCTCAAGCAACACATCGACAGCCTGGTGGCTCCTCTCTGCCTTCTGTTCGAAATGTCCCTCTCCAGTGGGGTGTTTCCTTCCTGCTGGATATCAGCTAAGATATTTCCAGTTCATAAGAAACATCGACAACTATCGCGGTGTCACATCGTTGTGTGCCATATCTAAACTGTTCGAGTTGGTCGTTATGGAACCATTAGTCTCTCACTTCAAGCAGCACTTGAGCGAATACCAGCATGGTTTCATGGCAGATCGGTCGACTACTTCCAACCTTCTGTGTCTCACCTCGTACATTACGGAGAGTATGACAGACCATATGCAAACAGATGCCAGCTACATTGACCTATCAGCCTCCTATCGTCAAGTTGAACCATCCTATAGCGATCGCCAAACTGGATAGGCTCGATATAAACGGCAGTCACCTACGATGGTTCGCATCCTATTTATCTGATCGTCAGTTGGAAGTTGCAATCGACGATTGCCGATCTCCTTCGTTCCCTGCCACTTCGGGTATTCCGTAAGGTAGCCACCTCGGCCCGTTGATATTTCTTGTGTATTTCAACGACGTCAATTTCGTCCTCGACGGTCCACGACTGTCGTTCGCAGACGACATGAAAATGTATCTCCAAATCCGAGCCATCGCTGACTGCCAACTCAACGCTTTTGCTAATTGGTGCCAACTGAACCGCATGGTTGTAAATCCAACCAAATGTTCAGTAATCACGTTCTCACGGAAGAAACACCCAATTACATTCAGTTTTATCCTAGAAGGCGTTGACGAACATCGTGTGAATCACATGAAGGATCTGGGAGTCATCTTAGATTGTCAACTCACATACAGCCAGCATATCTCGTACGTGATCGACAAGGCATCCAGAACGCTCGGCTTCATTTTCAGGATAGCTAAAAGTTTCACGGACATCTACTGTTTGAAGTTGCTTTACTACTCCCTCGTCCGGTCGGTGTCAGAATACTGCTGCCCCTGTATGGAATCCCATTTGCCAAAACAGTGTACAAAGAGTAGAGTCTATTCAACGACGATTCATCTGGTTTGCCCTTCGACGATTGCCTTGGAGGGATCCTCATCGCCTTCCAAGCTACGAAAGTCGGTGCCAGTTAATTCACCTGGATCCTTTGTGGAGTTGAAGAGATACGACAAGGGTCCTGTTTGTGGCAGACATTCAACAGGGCAGAATCGATTGCTCTTTTATTCTAAAACAAATCGACGTTAACGTCAACCACGAGCACTCCGTAACAACGCAATGCTGAGGATACCTTTTCGTTCGTATGGTGCTATCAATGGGCTACAAAGGGTTTTCAATCGTATTGCTTCCTTATTTGATTTTTACTTGGCACGCGAGACGCTGCGTCAGAGATTCCGTGATATATGTTTAAGAATTAGGAATCAAGTTGGACTTAAAGGTCTTTGCAGATTGTTAATTCTTGACTATATTGTATTTCCTAGTATTGCTTAATCCATCATTAGAACTAAACTCAGTCTGTTGATGTAGTATTTAGTATTTGGAACAAATGATATTTTACATTAACAGTAGTTTTCATTGGTAAGCATAGTTCATGTGTTATGTATTGAATAATATTGTAAAATTCAATAGTTGAGTAAAAAATAAAAGCATGATTAATAATCAAAAGGCTATGTTTATAAACAAGCATCAATCGATTTCACTCAATTTAAGACGCATGGCCCTTTTGCCCCATAGGGGTTGGCACTCTTACCGCATTGCAGTTTCAAAAACTGATTTGAGATGACAAGTGGACGTTTGTGGAGACTTGTTTACTCCAAATTTCAAAGTTACGTCTCACTCCAAAGTGCCGTCGAGCGGCATCGCCGCGTAATCAAACTGTAGCAACGAGACAATTGTTAATCATTTCCGGTCGTTGTTCTTTTGTCTACTCGTGAGCGATGTTCTTCTTCTATCTCGGAGAAGTGCCCATGGGCAGAGATAATGCACGAATGAATGAAAACTGAATGAATGGATTGAGCCAACAACACACACTACACCATCTTCCGCTAATAATAACACTCACCGGGTATGGGTGTGTGCAAACAATCAAACATAGACCTGATAATTACACTGTGCACAACAATTATCACAGCACTTCCCCCCTAATGGGCCATTCCCATCCTGGTTTCATTCATTCATGTGTATACATGTGTGTTGTACACCCTATCAGCTCTGTTTGATCTTCTTGTCAGTGGAACCCATCCAAGATCTGGGCCTGGGGAGGTGTCAACCAATACACAACTTCCGGTGCGATATTGTTTGGTTTTTGGGGCTCGTCAGCCGTCGTATCGAAATGGAATTTGGGAAGCTTTCAATGGCACCAGCAAATCGAAACTGATTTGTCAAATCAAAATTTATCCATCGAGTCACTTGTTAAAAAGTAACTCCCATTACGGTAGGTCACTCTGGCGCGGCGAAGCCGACAAGCGGGCAAATTGATGAATGAATAAACGAGCATCGGCCCCGATAGTTTTCCACGTTCAAGCAATCGATCGATCAATTCAGAGCAAGCTTCTCCTAGAGCGTCGGTATTGGTATCGTGCTGAAGTCGTGACCTACGCGAATGCTTATTTCTGTACGATCAGCATTCTTGATGAATGGAGTGCAGGGAACTTAATTCAATTTGCGACCAGCCGTGAATTGAATATTTATTGAGTTATCAATGAACGACCAAATGGAAGATGCCATAGTTCAATCGACACATCGACCACGTTGTTCACTGGATCAGTGGCGGCTGCCCGCTATCATCCAATCTCGATGTCAATCATAGCAACTAGCATCGTACCAACTGTAGTTGTTAGGATAGGTCGAGTTCAGAAATGCCATCTGTCAATTAGTGAGCAAATGGAACACTGAAAGGGTTATCAAGGTCGGTTGCAGCTGAGCACACCTCATTACCGAGTCACTTCCTGGAGTGCTACTAATGCACTCGTCGTCATCGTTCCTTAGAATCCACTCCCCGGATCGGATTACTTTCAGCTATTTTTCCCTTACCCACGCAACGTAAAACCACAAACGGGTCACACTGATCATACTCGCTCGCCTCGCACCACCAGATGGTTTAGTCTTACGGTGG